GGGGGCAGGCAGAGGCGCTTCTGGCTCTGTCCAAGGTCTCCTGAAATCGCCTCCCCTTCCGAGTGCTGCTCCAGCGCCGGAACGCTTTCCGTTTGTCCCTGGGTAACAATTATTTTCTGCTCCGATGTGGAGCTTTTCCTGTTCCTCCGCTCGGATATTTCATCACCACTTTGATTTAAAAGTGCTGGATTCCGTTCCCTGGTACAAGGAGACAGAAGGCAGAAGACCATTTTTTTCTGTCGCTGTGGAGGGTGTTTTGTCAGTCTGGCAGGTTCTGTGAAGGCTGTGCTTCCTTCTTTTTTGCTGTCTTTGTGGAATTGTGGCCGTGCCGTGTAGAGGCCTCTGGGGCAGGAAACTTGGAACTACAGAAATATTTGTACATGTTTTTCCCTAGATCTGTTTAACTGCAAAACCTCTAAGGATTAAGTGCCATCTCAGTGGAAGTAATGCAGTTTGTTTTGATGCTAGCAGGGTACAAAACAACTTACTGGTAGCTTTCATGTTGAAGATAATTGTAGTGTCCTTATGGAAGGAATAAGATGAAAATCTTCATCTGAAATATTAAAGTGTGTATACTTGTGGCTCCTATACTTGACTGTGATTTGCATGTCAAATTCAGTCAGCTGTATGCTTTGGAAGCCTTCAGCAAGGTTCAGAGCTTGCTTCTTTGTACACAGACACTTAGTGCAGCTGTTGAAAGGACTGGAGTGCTGCAGGCACACTCAGGCTGCCTGACTGGGAGTGTGCAACAGGGAGGGAAAGGGTGTAAGAGCCTTAATCTTGCAGCAGTCCTTCCCATGTCCCCCTTGCCCCAGTAACTTCAGCTTTCTGGTTTGTAAGAAGTGCTGTAAAGAGCTGAGCATTTGTACAGTAAGGAAATCTTTAGGAAAGTAAATGCATTTTTTCTCAGGGAAAATATGCCAAGTTTAGTCCTAGAAACAATCCATGCAGCAGAATCATAAATAAATGTATTATCTCAATAGATAATTTGTTTTTATTTCTAACTCCATTCCCAGTGCAAGTCAGAATGCATACTGCTTCATGCATACATCCCGATTTGCACCTTTACTGTCTTCTGAAGTTAAGATGAGAGTATGGGAGAGCAAATAGGATGGCCTAAATACCTGATACAAAGTTAAGCTTCTTCAAGCATGCAAAAGCCGCCTTTTTTTAATTCTGTTTTTTAAAATTGAGGCTAAAATCATTACTGGGTTTCATCTCTTCCGGGTATCTGTGAAATTTGGCACGTATGCAGGTAGAATGAAGCTAAAGTCTATGTGTCGGTTCTGGATGAAAGAACACCTGCTTGAATAATTTGTTTAACTTCTTTAAGAAACTCAAGCCGTTTTAACCATACAGAGCTCTGAATCTTAGCAATGTTTTTTGTTACTATTAAAAAGGAAGAAAAGTTAATGAACATACCTAATTGAAGTTGCTTAACTTTGTATGGACTAGAGGCCAAAAATTATCAAATTAAAAAAAAAAAAATCTATTCCTTCCAGGAATGGAATATGCTAAAATCTGAATTGTGTTTTGTATTCACAAGGTAGTGCACAGGACACAGGAAGAGTCTGAATATAACTTAATACCATGGCAGCATGCTGGAGAAGAATCCTGATAATATTTGTGGTAGCTCAAGTACTATTCGTGGTAAATACCTTTGAAGAAGAGGATATACCTGAAGAATGGATTCTTCTTCATGTTGTTCAAGGTCAGATTGGAGCAGGAAACTACAGCTATTTGAGACTAAATCACGAGGGAAAGATAATACTAAAGATGCGGAGTTTAAAAGGTGATGCAGACTTGTACGTATCTGATATGACACTTCACCCCAGCTTTGACGAGTATGAGTTACAGTCTGTAACCTGCGGCCAAGATGTTGTCCATGTACCTGCACACTTCCGCCGCCCAGTGGGAATAGGGATTTACGGTCATCCCTCTCACCTGGAGAGTGAATTTGAAATGAAAGTATACTACGATCAAACAGTTGTACAGTATCCGTTTGGCGAAGCTTCTTACAACCCTGAGGAGATAGAGGCAAACCAGAAACACTCAGAGTCTACAGAAGATGAGTCTCAGGATGAGGAATCTGTGTTCTGGACTATACTTATTGGAATCTTGAAATTAATACTTGAAATTCTTTTTTAAATTGATACACACTGGACTAAATCACACCAGCCTGTGAAATTGAACATGAATGACTTGCTGTAATATTTAATACTCTTTGTTATGTTTCCTGAAGAGGTATTCAGGTTACTTTTCCTAAACCAGAAAGGAAGTGGGGGGGAAAAAGCCATATTTAATTTTATATTGTAAATCCTCCCCATATGTAAAATGAGCAGCAAGCACAGTATTTGCAGTGTTCTTCAGAGATCAGGGCTTAAAAATTAATGTACAGTTGAGATCTTGTTAAATTCACTTTAAACAGATGCTTAGGAAAATCGGCTCCAATTCAGTATTTTCTATTGTTTTTTATAAAGGAAAGTAAAATAACCAACTGCTGCACTTCAGTGCCCCCTCTCAATTTAGAGCATATTTAAAAAGAAAATTTACCTTTTCTGAGCAAGTAGCTCCAGTAAAACTTATTAGCAATGGCTTTTGAGTGTATTCAAGTTGATGAGCCTAGGGTGAAGGAAGGGAAAACCAATCGACTGCCTGAGGGGATAGATTATCTATGTTTTGGCTGCTTGTGCTCTATGTCAAGTCAGCCATCTGTCAAGTAGAGGTCTGTCCAGTCACTCATCACCTCTGCATATCCATGACCTAAATCAAGTGCATGTCACTTCTTCACTATTACTGCAGGGAGAATAAGCCTTCAGCTGTTCCTTGTCAATACGATATTTTCATTCCTTGTTAAAACCAATGTGGCATATAGTATCTTGAACTTGAGAGGTGTTTTCTTACACCTCCCTTTATAGCTTTTTTTTTTTTTAGCATCTTCATGAGTAAGTCATTAGCTTGCAAAGAAAATTTCTGCTGAAAGGAATTTGCAGTACATTGTAAGAAGGTCAGGTCTTGCCCACTCTTCCTTGAAAGCTAGTTTTTCCAGGAGTATTTTCTGCTTTGGTTGAGTCTTTCAAAATAACCAGTTACTATGCAAATAGTGTATATTTAAATTGCTCTGTAATTTTCTTTTCACAGAGCTTACTGATGAGTGCCCTGAAATAAACAAGTATGTTACTATAATTTTATACAAATGGTGCATGTACAATTTAAATTTCATTATTGAAAGCCTTCTCTTTTTAAGTGGGAATTTGGCTTGTCTATCTCTATCTAGACGTCTGACAGGACTTGATTAGTCACTTGTATCACAAAAAAAATCATTATATAGCCAAAATTCAGTTTATTTAGTAAAAAGAAAAAAAGTGGTATTGTTCCTCTTAGAGTGGTTGGTTAAATAGCACCAAAGTATCACTTTAATTTGTGCAGTTAGGTTTTGGACAGCAAGTTTTTTGGGGTTTTTAGCCCTCCTTGCTGGTTTTCCCCCTTCTTCCTCCTCTTCTGGGTACGGGAGGGTCTTTCTGACAACAATCACAAATCCAGCGACCTAAGAAAAGAAAGTTATCAATTATTGGGAAACTACCTTTGTTACTCGCTCATCTAGTTATGCACCTTTCACTATTCTAGCAGGTGCTCATCTATTTGCAATACTTCCTTTAATGTAAAAAAACAGTACTTCTCTTTAAAATGTAAGCATCTTTTTCTAAAAGGTATAGAAAGCAGCATATAAAATTCACCCTCCACTGCAGACTCATTACATGTAACAGCTGGCTACACTAATCATTACGGACCCCAAGAAGTGCCGGCACTGCGAAGGAGGTGGTTATTAAGAGCTTGACAAACTGTGTTTGAGTTTGTGAATTATATTTTCATGGGAAGGACCACAGCTCGAGGTTACAGGCAGTTGCTGGAGCAGAAATGAATGCCAGTTGGGGAATGTTGCTCTTCTGCCACAGGTATGGGGTCCCGTTCCCCAAACCAGTGCCAGCTATTTCAGTGCAGTTAGGCAGCACAGATTAAACTGCTGGCAGGGGTTCATCACCAGACCTTGTAACAATAAAGGGTTGAGCAAAGAGCAGAAACATTTAACTGCTTTATTACAAGAGCTAGAATCATAAAGGCTGCTTTAGGAATTTCATAGTTTTGCAGGCATATAATCTGTTTTGTTTTGATTCTGTCCTTAGGCCACAGAACCTGTACTAAAGTGACAGCTAGCACCAGTGCTTCCCAAAATGGGAATGTACAGTATATGTGAAGTACTGCAGTTACAAGGAATACTGTCACTGCAGAACTTGCAGCCACTGAATACTTATTCATCAATTAACTTACCACAGATTTAGTATTACATGAAAAGCAACAGTACTACCAGTTATTTCTATGTCTGAAGCTTTCTTCACACTGCCTTGAGTTGGCCAGGTGATATGAGTGACCAGGTAACTTAAAGGTACAGGCTGCCTGACATCTAGGTACTTCACTTCCAGCTTTGATGTTTAAGAAAAAAATGGGAAGGAAGGGGTTTAAAAAGGTGTTTACAAATACAAAATTGAGCATACTTTTTAATTTAAAAACTGAAATAATAGCACAAATATTTCATTAGTGTGAAAGCTATACTCCAGCAATATGCAGCAATACAGCCTCTTTACAGGTTTCTTTTATGAAAAGAGTATTATTCTCAGTATTCTGTGGATATGGAAAAAAACCCCACCTAGTTCTGAGTGAGTCTGTTTGGATTCTGTTGTAAAAGCCAATTATATTTCCTATACAGGAATTGCCAGGGTAAACTGTGCACAACCAAATATACAGAAATAAAGCTTATTAAAAAAAAAAGGGTCCTATAGTATGAATGCTTTCCTGCAGTATTGCATACTCCTACCCTTCATGCTTGTTTTAAACTATTCTGTCAAAAGCAATGCATATGTTAATTCTGGCAGAGAAAGCCCAGGACTCAGAGGTGGGAAGGGTACAATTAACTCTTACTTTATTACCTGAAGGGATAGCGTCAAGCCCCACACAAAATGTGTGATAACCACGGTCACATACATCACAAAACATCATTTCCTCTTCATGGTGAGGCTGCCCGCATATAATGCATGTTTTACACTCCATACATTGCCAAGGATAAGTCTTAATCATAGCAACAAGCTCCGGAGTCATATCAAGGCAAGAAGGGTGGCCTAGATTAAAACCAATATTATTACTTTTTATGTCTGAAATGAAATTTAAGATTAGACTGTTTGCTTTTACAGAAGCCGAAGCTTAGCTCACCTCCTGGCGAGATCCCACAGTGCACTGAATGTGCTAGTACGTGTAACATTAAATAGAGATGGAGTCTTAATGAAGGACACAACTGAACTGTTGGTATGCAAGCGTAGTACACTCAGTATTTCCACAAAAAGATCTGTCAGACAAACTCCCTTAGGAATCCGCTTAGTGTATGCAGATACTTACCACTGTTGTCACACTGGGAGCAATGTATAAGAGCTTCAGCTTTTCCTTTCTTGTTGGACTCCTTACCCTTCAGACAAATTCCACATATAGCATTTGGAATGACCTTTGGCTGGAAGGGTAGAAGAGGGCTATAAATTCATTCCAGAAGAATTTAAAGGTTTAAAAGGAAATGTCATATATCTCCTTAACTCTTAAAATTAATGAACTACCTGTTACGATGTGTGAACCTTAAAACATAGGACAATAACTGACAAGCAGCGCCATTGAAAAAAATCATAGATTAACTACACGAAATTTTGCATTTGGCACGTGTAGTGAGTTATATGTAAATCAAATTGGAGCAAAAGCATGTACTTGCTTCTTCCTATGAATTCATCACTAACACTCCCCTCAATGTAAATGAAATGTGACATAGCATTAAAAGTTTCAGTATTTTTTTCCAATATAGAATACTTCTTTATGAATCTCCATGCAGATTTCCTGTTTATGGAATAAATTAAATACAATTTTCCATTTTCATGATGTCCCCAAATACAGCAAGTTAATTACAAAAGCAATAAACTTGATTTTTGTAACTTTACTTTCAAATGATCTGGTTAGCTATGCTGTACATAGCTATCTGTTTTACCATTCTTTCTCGTATCCAGTCATAATCGCTGTAAGAAATATACCCCCTTGCATTTAACTACAGTTTTACATTCATCATCTAAGTGGTCATCTGGAGTGTATTTGGGTCCATGAGATCCATTTAAGAGAAAGTAGCAGGCTTTAACAATGAGTAACATTTGTGTACATATTCTGTGTCCCAACCCAAGAGATAAACCAACAGAGTTTTATCCCGATGAGAACCAAGGAAGAAGTAAGGCATTACAAATTTCAGACACATTTCAGTAGTCCTATTGTTGAGGACTTTGACCTCTGCAGAATTAAATTAGTGAGAAATGCTGTTTAAAATTAATATAGTACTCACTGATGATAAATCAACCAGTGCCAGAGTTTTTTTAAAAAAAATGTTGCTGCAAAGACGCAGCTAGCAGAGGGAGTTCAAGGCATAGCCTGTTTTCTAAGGAACTGAATGGCTTGTCAGCAAGCAAGAATAGTCCCAGGCAACTACCAACCACATGTGGGGAGAAGAATGAAGTTGAATTTTAAAATAAATAAAAGTGAAAACAGAACTATATGTATATATGTGCATATATATAAAAATTACCAAGATCTTTTGCAATACAACTTATCTTTAAGTGTGTCTATTTCCCCAGCTAGCTTTTTCTAGCACCTAGCAAGATAATTAGTATCTTGACTCATTTTTAAGTAGTCAGGATGCATTGCTTTACGTTTTCAATCTGCTTTTTAAGTTAAAACATGGCTACAGTCTGCTTCAAATTGTCTGGTCTGAAGAGTTTTATTTAAGAAAACAAACCATACCAGATGTTTATAGGTAACTTCCTTCAAAAGATGACAGAGGCATTCATACAGACTTTTTTTTGCTTATTTATTTTAAAAAAGCAGAGTCAACCTGTTTTATACATAAATATAATAAAACAATAAAAGAAGTCTAACATTCACAAACGTCTCTACAAAATAATAAATATAATGGGAGCAAAACCACACATAAACTCTTTTACTGTTAATTATTCTATGCGTCCTACATGTATACCTTTATACCCTGCTCCTCCCAACAAAAGTGGCACATGCTTAACCTCATCAGTGTTGCAGCATTTACCCTTCCGTTGTTTAGGCTACATTGTAATTTTTGTATTGTGTTTTTATCTATTTCTACGTAAACCAAGCCTTTCTAGAATAGCAAGTGCACTTTTCTAATCAGACTTCTAGTTTATTACAGATTTGTGTTTTACTGCCTTTAGTGTACAGCAGCATACTCCAGCAAAGCTAAAGTGAGCTGCTTTTTGGTCACTGTACCTGCTTTAGGGTATGTGCAGTTAACACTCTGACACACATAATTCTAAAGTAAGACACTGATACAGATGCATTTATTAACAATGCTTCCATCTATTCTTACTTCACTAAATTGTGTTCATTAGAAATTGTGCATGTTGGGGGGGTGAGAGTCACAGCCTAATAATAATAAAGTTCCAACAGTATGGAAATATTTTTACAAAAATAATAATAATAAAAAAAAGCAAGACTATTCACATTTCAAATCAGTTCAAGTTCTACCACCACAAATGGCTTTTAGAAACGCTATGAAAAAAGTCCATCAAATCCAAATGGGAAGTCACAATACCCCATCTGATTAGAGTAAATTTTGCTTTCTATGTCCTCATCTCATTGGGATGAGGAAGGGAGAGAAAACGAATGCAAGGTCAAACGATGACTGCCTGCTCTGTAAGTTTTCACTTCCACGCTGCTGTGCTGCAGCTCTCAAAGCAGGTCTTCCAACTACACCATTTCTATAAGGTCCTATTCTGAATGCAAAGCGTTCCATTTTCATATACAGTGACCCAAAACAGAAGTGTTGTAAAATACAGTTTCTCAATACATTTCAGTTTTATGTGCAAAAAATCTTCTGTACTTTTAAGAGTACCCTGTGTGTTCAATTGTAGTAGCCAGTCCTGCAGCAACAAAGACTGGCTACTTGTGACATGACGAAATGTAAAACACACGGTAACCGTTCTTTGTTAAAGAACTGACGATAAAAATGGCTCCATATAAAATACATTATTTCTTTTACTCAAAAATAACTCAGTGGAAATGTGTGAATCCTGTAATACTCATAACGTGGCTATAACTATACATTTGCGTGTTGATGCCATAGAATTATCCTTCAGTTTTAACTACATGTAACCAAAAGATTACTATCCTACAAAAATAGTCAAATATTAGAGAACAATACAGAACAAAAGTATTACAAAGACTTAGAATTCACAGGGACAACAGTTTATATCAGGTAAGCCTTCAGCTCAAAATGCCTTAACATATAGGCACATATGGTATATCATTATCTGGTGGTTTTATAGACTAACAAACAAGAATCTTTGTGTCTTACCAGTTAAAACAGCTTATGTAATTGGGTTTACTGAAAGCATTTAAACGTTCCCACAAACAAGAAAGCAAATCCTCTCACCCTCCCAACACAACATCACCACCTTTGACTTATCAACAGCCTGACGGCTGATGCAGGCAGGGTATGCTGACATTGCAAAGATGTGGCACACTGAGTTTACAGTAATACCTTGTTACTAAAACAATCGGTGATTTTGAACCAGTAAGTAATTGCTACGGGAATCCATTTTCAAAATGCAGTGCTGTAGACTACCATTATTCTTCTACAATTAGAAGTTCAGAACTTTGCAAAAAGTTCTGCTCCATCAGTCCTATCTCTGTGCATTCATAAGGCCATTAAATAGGTTGGACTAATCAAACACTCAGGCACCTCACAGCTAAGTGAAACTTCTGTAAACCAGTGGCACACAATCTCTAATGTCAAGTTAAACAACGCTAAAAAAAAATTTCAAGCTTCATCTTTGGATTTCATGTTCATGGGAATATTGGTATGCATTCTGTGTCTACAACAAAGTTACATATAAAAAAATATACATATGATACCCACAGTCTAAATCTCCATAGTTTGCATATTTCTTAGTAAGTTCCTGAAAAGAGAAAATGCAGCTGGAGCTTGCTGTTATGAACTTGTACAGATACTGTATGTAGAGAAAATTTATCAAAGCTGTCCAATTCTTGCTGGAAATTAGCTTCTTAAAGTAAGTTATATTTAATTAATGTTAACTTGGTAAATACAGGTAGTAAGTATTTATGAAAATGCAAGCCATCAACAGCTCACTTTTGCTGAGACAGTTTCTCAATAGGTACTATCCTGTCACTGACAAAAATGTTCCTTTTTCCATAACCTCTCTTAGCAAGCATTCCTGATTGCTAAATACTAAACCCTAACTTACTGTAGTGTTTTCCCTCTTTACGGGTCTATTCCTGCTCCCACATAAGTCAATGGAAAAATCCTCGTTCCTTTCAGTGGAACAGGACTAGGCAATAATGTGCTTTAAAAGTGTTACATTATATTCAGATCCTCTCTTACTATGCAGAAAAGTAACACATAAATAATGCATGTCAACTCCCATTTCTTCCAAAAAGTATTTTTATCTTCATCTTATTTTTATCTTAATTTTTGAAATGATTATAGAGTAATACTGATGATTTGGGTCTTAGGTTTGGCAATCAGTGCTTGCCAGCTGAAATGTCTTAACATCCTCACCAAGTTTTTAGCTTGGATAAAAGCATATAGCCCACAAACATTTCTACATAGTATGAACTACATAAAAAGCTATTTTCCATATACTGTTAAAGTGGTTACATAGTGTTGCCTATAAAACTGTAGTAAGCTTCTTGCCTTCCACCCTATAAATCATAACATCTCAGGATGAAAGGCTGTATTTAAAATGAACGTAACAATATGTTCAGCCGCATAGCTGCACTTTACAGCACTGATCTCTTTGTATGCTGACATACTAAATAGTAGAAAAAACCATAATGGATACCGAGTACTAGTTTTGAACTGGCAAGTAATTCTGACTGCTATGTTAAAGCAGACAGAAAGATGTAGAGTTCCAATGATAAATCCACAATGGATTTTTCTGACATTACTGCCTGGGAATCTGAGAAGTTAACAGAAACAGGGGCCACTGTACAGCTAGGGTAAAGGAAAGCCCCATGTGAAATAAAAGCAAAAAGGAAGTAAGGAAGCAAATGGAGCACACAACAGGAGAGCAGCTAGTGAAGTACAGCAAGCAGAAGTTCCATATTATTGAAAAAACATGTATTTCAGGGAGAGGCTGGTCAGTAAAGAAGTTCAGTCAGGGGCTTTTTTCTTCTACCTTGTACCCAGGAACTGATTTGGATAATACAGAACGTTTGGAACCATCTTTTCTTGGAGTAGCACTTTTGTCTCTTGTTTTTTGTCTTCCCTGAAAAGAATCCTCCTGGTTGTCTGTGGCGCAATCACCTTCAGATACATTGCCAGACGAATTGTCCTATAATAAAAATACCATAGCTATATTTTTTATTTTTTTGGATAGACAGACAAGTCTTTCCTATGCCCCTTAGAGCCAACTAAACTAAGAGAAGGATACATCTTTCCTTCTGCAAAAGCAAGGGGTACATCACAATCTAGAAAACCTTTGCTCATAACCTTCATTATCTATTATTTTTCATGCGAAGAGACTGGCATCAGCAATAGCAGTCATGTTTTCCAGTTGGTTTTGGCACCAGAGTGGGGAGCCCAACACCATAATTCTTTGAACGGTTTTCCTTTAAAAGTCAGCAAGAAATCCACTATATGCGAGATGTTGTTTACAAAGTAAAGGGCCAGCAAAAAGTTAAAAATGCCCTTGCCATGCATTTAAAGCATACTACCAGATAGCACTGCCTTGAATGAAACATGAAGGTTTTTTCTGCCACCCTCATCTACTGTTTTCACCAGGAGCATCTAAATACCAGGATACCAGGAGTATCTAAATACTTCATTTGGATTGCAGCAGAAGAATGCCATCAAAGGCAAAACACATTTCAATATTTAATACAGAACCAAACAACAGAATTTATGCTGCGGTTAAAGCATTTTTGGTTTTGGTTTTTTTTTTTTTTTTGAGGAATGAGGAGTCAAGAAAGAGGCGAAGACACTCAAAAGAGGGTGAGAGATCAATGTAAGCATAATTAAGAGCGGCAGCACAAGATTTTTCTCAGAAAAGTGTTAATAAAGGCTTCCAAAAAGCTCCAGAAGAAAGCAATCTCATTAAACACATTTATTACAATAAAAAACAAAAGGCCAAATAACAGCAGTGCCCTACAGTAAAAGGCACTCTGTACAAAGATTAACAGTAATCGGCCTATGCCCCAGAGCCTAAAATCAAAACAGACAAAACAGACACAGTGCAAAGGGAGGAGTATAACACAACAGCAAAGCAAACTATGTGGCAACAAGAAATGGTATGTTTCACCCTTA